GAAAGGGGTGGCCTGGAACAGGTAAGTTGAGAAGCCCCTTGGTGTTCTAAATGGCTTTTTGTACAACACGGAGTAATGAAGTTCTGGTTCTTCAAAACATATTGTTATGAGTTGAGGTAGAGAAACTAAAGTCTACTAAAAGACTTCACATAGTTTCTTTAAAAAAACCAAAAACGAACCCCGCCAGAAACATCACTAACGCTATGACTCCAGGACATGCAACCGTACTGTGTCTTTCACAAAGTGGACTTGGAGGAACCAGGTCCCTGTTTGACACTCCAACGTAAAACACTAAGTTGCGGTATCAGAAGGATAGATGGCAGGGGGATCCATCATGCCTAGAGAGGAACCGGATGTTCTTTTGACTTGCCACTGTAGTTGCCTGTACTGGAGGTGCTTAACACAGTGCCTGGCTCAGCTTATCTTTCCATTCCTGGTCCTCAATAACGAAGTGGTTTTGATTCTTTCCAAACTTGTCTCCACTAACTCTTTCCTTTTTTTGTCCTCCTTTACTCAAAAGTGCTCTCTCCCCTGTTTATGTTTCTGTCTGCAGTAGCTTTCCACTTTGGAGAGTCATGAGTAGGGGCCTTTGGAGACCTTCAAGCCATTGTTCTCATATTTTTTGTTTAAGTTGCTTAGGAGCCTTCCAGAACTTTGGTAGGCAGCCAGTTTTCATTGAAGAGAAGAATGACTTTCAGGATTTGCCACACTTCTGTGTTGTCTGCGGGACATCATGTGGACTGTCTGATGACTGTGTTGTTTTAGCAAACAACCTGTAAATGCAAGAGATGTTTCTTTGTCTGGGTTGGCTAGCATGTTGGAAATTAGGATTATTACATGGGTGTTTGTGGTTATTTTTGTGATTTAAAGACATGAGTCAGTCTTGCTCTTTACCTGCTGGTGATGATACCTGCTTGAGAGGACTAGTGAAAGAATACTAGAAAAGCAACTTGTCTTGTATCTAGCTTGTTTTAAAATACCCAAGTCCTACATTGAACAGAAATGTCAGAGCTGAGAAAGCTTGTGTGAATGGGACTTACTTGTTGTCTCTTTGTATTGAAGCATTTTGCCTGTAAATTGTTTGATATAATAATTTCAGTGCTTAAATATGAAGCAACAGCCCTTCTCATCAAGGAATTGTACTTTGAAGGGCAGAGTAAGTGTGATGCCTGTCAATCTGGGAACTGAAACCTGGTGATTGTTGAGGCCTCAAGAATTACAAGCTAACATGATTCTACGGCAGTTATTAATTAACCAAGCAAGAGCTTTGCTCCAGCTGGAGGAGCTGGGGCCAGAAGGTGGGCACATACATTTAGTACGAAAGATCCGTATAGTTCTGTTTCCTGTAGTGCTTTCTGTTGGGATTGTACCATTCGTTTTGCTGGCAGTTCTAAAAGGAAATCTGCTCCTCAAACGAGAGCAGTGTTGTAACTTTGCTGTCTGCAGGGTGCACCATGCCATCAAGACCGGGCTCCTACTTGCTTGAGGTTCTCTCCTGCAGCAAGCATGAATGAAAGTGGGTTTTTCGTTTGTTTGTTTTTTAATAGTGTTTTTTTTTATGATGGTATAATCTCTTGCAGTGATAGAACCGAGCAATCGATGATTGTTGATCTTTGTGGAGGTGAACAAGGCTTTATTTTCCCCACTTGTCTGTGGGTAATGAGGAGAACAAAATGCTGACTCTGCCATAGTTGGATACTCTGCTGTCAGCAAACAATTTTAAGAAGGATCTTGCCATTTCTGGTTTCCTTCCTGTACTCCACCTCCTGCTTTCAGAAGGTTGTCCTGCCTGCCCTTTGCACTGGAGGGTTCGAAGTGCAGCCCTTGGCCTGCGGGACCCCTTTCCATGCAACAGTTATGTAACAACAAGGACAATCAGTTGCCCACTTTTATTGCTTGTGAATTGCTTGTCAGCAATTTCTAGACTCCTACAAAAAAAGGAAAAAAATCTGCTGGTGTGAACTTGTTCTTGATAAAAAAATTTACAATCTGGCATCAAAAGTAGGTGTGGCTGTGGGTTTTAGGCAAGCTGCAGGCTTAGTTCTTCTTATCTAGCCTGGGACATCTTTCCATTGTAAGCCAGTACAGATCTTACAGTTACAGTTCCCGTACACAGCAAGTGCAGACAGGGGCCTTCAGCTGATATTACAGGGCATCTAGTAAGAGGCTTCAGTTAAATTTTGTGCTAGTTAAGGTAGGCCTAAATTGTGAATTTGTTATTCAGTAGCTCTAACTTGAACTCCAAGGGACATCACTAAGTTTTTGCTTCAAGGTGGATAAATCAGTGTGATATGTCTTGCTATGTGAATTTGTATGGGCTTTTTCCCCCGCTGTATAACTGAGGTACATGTAGAGATAAAGCTTTGTGACTTTCAGCTTTTTTTTTTTTTTAATGTCTTGTTGTAGTATTTGGGGAGTGGGGGAGAAAGCATCTCTCAAGATACCAGTTATATGGAGACTTGCTGCCTAGGTCTTGCTTTTCCTCCAGCGGCAGAGAGGAGTAAGGGATGCTTCACTGGAGGCTGGGCAGTGGTTCTGTGAGTAGGACTTCTACATGGTAGTGGTGTGGGGTTTATGCTGCTCTTCAGATGTGATCTGGTTTTTGTTTCATGCTGGTTCCCTGCCCCCATGGGCAATACCTTTTATCTTGTTGATATTCTAGTTTGCCTGGAGTCTTTCGGAGTGGTTAGGCTAGAAAACAGCGATAACTCCACAGCTAAATTCAAGAACTGCACACTGCTCACTAGGAGTACTTTTTTCCCCTCTCTTAGTGTTGCATAATTGCTTGTGCTATGCGAATGGGATTTCTCCCAGAGAAATGAAAATCCCTATCAAAATCATCTATTTCTCTCTTAATGAAAATCCTGTACAGTGTACTTCAGACTCAACATCCGCTGCTAAAAGTTTGAATGCTCCCTTGCAAGAGAAATGAGAGACTTTTTTCTATCACATGTAGAGGAAAGCCTGCTTCTGTTCCTTCTATACTAGCATACTTGTGTTTTCCTGTGACCCTTACAGAGATCACACCATGCTTGAAGCTAATTATTCCCTGCCTCTGTCATAATCAGGACTGACAGTTTTGTATGTCTTTCTGTTTGGTTGATAAAGGCCCAGGGGGGATTACGATCACTAATGTGGAATTGCATTGCCAGTAGCTTATTTGTTTAATCCAGCTTCTGTTGTATTGTCTGAAGGCTCCCAAGGAGAACCTGAAAATGGAGAAGTTGCACAGTTCACCCTGTGGGCAGTCTTGGTGGGGAGTGAAGCTTCCCAATGTGGGAATCCCCTGAGGTTAGAGCTTGAGGAAAGCAGCTGGGGCAGTGGAAAAACTTAATTACCTACATAATGGATGCAGTCTCCAAGAACTACAGCAATCTGTTGCTCGATGCCAATCCTAGGGTTGAACCTGTGAGTGCAGTTGTAGTGTGTGTGGCCAATGTGCAAGCAAATACAGTAGCTTTCCTTTTTCCTGCTTTCTCCAGTGTCCCTGAGGTTAATGGTGGGGATGAAGGTTTCCCTGTACTGTGTGATGCACCATAGATGGGAATCCCAGTCTCTTGTCTCCTCTGTGCAGGGGCACGCCTGCTGTGCATAGGATGAGAGGTCTACCAGGAGAGCTCCGATGTCAATGGCTATATTCTGTTACTGTTTTTTGCTTTTCAGAACACTGTTTTGAATCTTCCAGGTTTTGCTCTAATCTTTGAACAAACTTTCTTCTCTTTTCTTTTCTTTTCTTTTTTTTTTTTTTTTTTAAATGAGAGAGAGACTGGGGAAGGGTGTGGGGTGGAGGGAAGACACACATACATCTGTGTGTCAAGGGCATTTTCATTTCTGATTCTTGGCCTGAAAACTGTGTTTAAACTTGTTGCTTGACTGCTGTTTGAACATGGTCCAGTGGTAAGAGGCTTTAATACGTTTCTTCTTTGCAAATCATCAACCTCACATCTTCCAGTAAAGGAAGGAATTTGGGAGTATAGCTTCCAAGAGTAATAGCCCTCTCAGCCCCATGCAATGCATAGGCTCCAACCAAAAAGTTCCAAGGAAAATATTCAGAAAGGGGGAAGTTGTCTAGCTGTATCCCTGATGGTTTTGTATTTAAACTGTTGGGCTTTGCAGAGAGATCAGTATGCTCTTTTTTTCCAGATAGACATGCAGCCATCCTGGAACTACTAACTGTGCTGGAACATCTTAATCCAAGCATAGAGTAGAGAAATATACAAAATGTCTCTTATTTCCCAAGTTTATATTGATGATACTCTGTAGTTTTCCATTTTTCCTGCTATCCATTTAACCTCTAGCTGAAAACACACTTGGAAGTGTTGGAGGCTGCATCCAGGTACCCTGCTTTCTACTTGCATCTACCTCCTGATTAGTAGAAAGAGCTGAGTGCCTTGAGAAGTGCTTGCAGAGCTTAAAGGAGGATGCTGAGCAAAGAGCCACCGTGAGGAAGCTGGTAGGTTTGGGGACTTGGATGGCATTTATGCTGAGTCTGGGTCTACATCTGTTTCCACTGAAAAGCACTGAAACAGGAGTGTCCTACTGGTTTTTAGAGGAAGCTTCAATGTGACTGTTCAAGGGAATGAAGTGCGTTAAACTCAAGAGATTCTTTTAACAAATAGGGTTGTCTTAACAATCCTTTCCAGCACTGCTGTTCGTGGTTGTGACAAGCAATGAGTGTGTACTGTGTTTAAACATGTACTCCCACAGCTAGAGGCAGCATGCAGTTTCTGGGAGCAAGAACTCTTGCTGTGGTAATGCTCGTGAACAATTCTCCTAACAAAATAAATTCTCATCTCGGTGTTTTTTGTGGCTTTGAGGATGATTGGGACGTAAAAAACCTGAAGATACGCTTGGATGCAAAAGTTCTTGCAGATAGGAACAGATTATTTTCTTAACCTCATAAAACTGAGTTTAGAGCATACAAGCATTCCTATTCCTGTTTATTTGTTTCCTCCAAAGTGGAAAAAATGACCCAAGGAAATCAGGGGCATAAGTGTTTCAAGTGAGTTGAGAGTTGGGCAAGGATAAAGTGGAGGGTTTGATCTTTTGGATTTCCTAGTGCTGTCCAAAGTTGCATGTAGACGGAGATGCCGCCTTCTTGTGCTTCACTTTGCTCTAGAGTGAGGTCTAATTTTTGTCCCCTTTGCTTGTATCAACTGAATGGTTTTATGGGAGCCAGTATGTTTCACCTTTTCTCCTCTAATTTAATGTATATAACAGGAGTTTGATTTAATCTCCTGTAACAGCTTCCTTGCATGATGATTGCAACTTTCTTTAGACTGACAGTCCCTCCAATGACTCGGATTTTATTTCTCTTGCCTTGAAGTCCTTGGCTGTCAATGTCTTTGCTTAGTGTTTTCACTCTCCGCAGATCAATGTGTAGTTCTCCTGGCACTGTTTGGCAGAAGGTGAAGAAAATCAGAGACTAGGAGATGAGATGAGGCCATCCACTAGACAAGTGTGTGGAGACACGGTTAAGGTGAATGCCCTAGTGGTTAATGCTTTGTTCTGTGCGTCTTTATGGGTACTAAAATTGCTGCTGTAAAGTTCATAGTCAGGTGCTTTCTAACCTCTTACTGACACAGGGATTTTAATCTGTTGGTTTTTCCTTACTGTGTCAGAAGTGCCATTGATCCTATGCTGCTTGGCTTTTGTTTTTAGAGAGTTTTAAAGTAATGACCAGTTTAGGGTTGATCATGAACTAAATATTTTTCTGTTTTACTGGGCTGAAAACCTAGTAGGCAAGTCGTTAAGTGGCCTGCCTGTTATTGCTTAACTTCCCAGTCATAAGGAATATGTAAGTAGCTCTCCTTTTTTCCTTGTCAGTGATGGGGTGGTGACCAAAGTATGATTAAAGTCGTTGGCTCCCTCATGAGCCAGGAAGTCTCAAGCTCTGTTCCTGATGCAGCTGGAAAGTTGTTCTTGTGCCATGGACAGGTTGGTTACACCAGAGGCTAACACAACAGTGTTCCTCATTGCCACCTGTTCCAAGGAGTCTTGAGCAAGCTGAGTAAGAAGAATGCAGTGACATGAGATCTGTTCTCACTGCTGGTGAGTTTTGGGATGAAAAGGATGGTGTAGTTGGGCTTTTCCCCTTATTCTGTGTGTGATGTTGTGGTATGGGGAAATAGCAGCCCACCAGCCTGCTATTTGGCAACAGCTAAGGGGGTGTGCAAGATCTGTCCTTTTGATAGTCCAGCCCCTCTCTAGGGTGGTGCGGGCTATGTCCTCGATATGCTGCTCACTCTGTCCTGCTTTGTCTGAGTGTATTGGCAGAGACTGGATTCCGCCACTGCCCTGATGGTTGTGCCGGGCACATCAGGGTCTAGGCTGGACTTGCCTCCATGACACAGAATTGAAAGAACCTGTGTCCTGTTGATACCATTATTACTATGTCTCTTCATGCTTCTGTTAATGACTGATGTCTGATTAAAGTGTCTTATTACTGCAGAAGCTCAGTGTTGGGCTCGTAATCAAGGGCATCATTGCGTTGTGCTAGCATGAAGAGTTTTGCTGTGGTTGTGATCATATTGATCTGTCTAGCTCCATCCTGGTTCTTTATTGTTTTCTCTGACATAGGAATTAGGAACAGGATGGAGGAGCTGAGAATTTTGCTGTGTCCCATTCAGAAAATGGATGTAACTGGAAGAGTGAAGACATGATCCATTTTCTCATCCCTCTCCCAGGGGTTAGGCTTGTGCAGGGAAAGGGTGGACAGGCACTAGTTTGTCCTTCTTCCCTCAACTGACTAAAAGAAGAGGTGAGTGAATGGTGTCCTCCAGTAAAGTGTGAATTCAGAAACCTCCTTGGAAAAGTTGCTACCAGACGTGACAGAAATAGATTTCTAGTTTCAGAGAAAATGACTTTTCTTTAATTTTTAATCTGTTTGTGTTGGAACAGGTAGATGAAGGGAGTGATGGTAGGACTAGGTAGGGCAGCCTTTGAAGACTACGCAAGGAAGAGATGGGAATGTTACGACCTTTGAGTAGTTAACCTTTTGAAGTCCCATGGGGTAGATGTCTCATTACCCTTGCCCCAGCGAATGCACATTTTTACCTGTGACATACCAAGCAAATTGCCTTCTGCCTCAGAGATGGTGAAGGGTTGTTAAACCTGTTTGACTTCGAGGCAGTCATTCTGGGGATTCTCATTATTTGCAAGTGTGAAGGTCAGGAGGCCTATGGAAGCCACCCTCCTCTTCCCATGTCTGATGTCCACTCTGCCGGCCAGCACATAAGGCAAAAGCTCCTGTGTTGGGCGAGGGGTTTTAGTAAGTGCTTACAAAAATAGTGATAGATTGTCTTCTGTTTGCTTCTATTTTTTTTTTTTTCCTTTTTTCTTCCAGCTATTGCAAACTCCTATGAGATTGCTGAGCCAAGCCTGGGTATGGGGGTGGTCAAGGAGAACCCAGAAGCTTTGCAAGGAGAGGGAAAGTGAGAGAACTGCAGCTGTTCAGTGCATGGGAGAAGGTTAAAGCATAAAATATAGAAAATGAAAACTACCATTAAAAATAGGGGAAAAAAAAAAAGTAGAAAGAGTAAAACCTACTGGTGAGAATAATCACTCAAGTATCTGACTTTCCTTGCTGCTTGTCACAACTAACAGGCTCCTGACTTGCTCTTTGCGCTCACCTGTGTTTTTGGAAAGTCTCGTGATCCGTTTAATGTTACGGAAACAGGTGCCATGTAGACACAGGCAAGTGAGCTTTCTTTTTACTTTTCTACCAAAGGATGTGACTCACTGCTAAACTGATGGTTCATTTAGCGGAGCAGTTAAACTACAAGTACAGAAATTGTCAGGGTTTCCAGTGATAACTATTTCCTTTGGATATTTTTTGTGTTATGGACACAGCAGGGAAACTTTTCACTGTGGACATTGGTCTATTAGGAACCGACTTGTCGTAAATTTAATTTATGTGAGTCTCATAATGCAGGTAGCTGCTTGGTAGTGGAAGTTGAGCTAGATTTAAACTTATAGAAGATTACTGACTTGGTCTCAATCTGTCAGCTCATTCTTCACTCCTGTTTTGTGTTTGGATGTTGTAGTTTTGAGATGTTTTTGGAAAGGATACTGGGAAAACTTGCAAACATTTTTCAAACAAAAGATGGTTTGTCTTCATGGCTGGGAGGGTTCATTTGGACACTTGCTCTGAAATTTTTTTTGTTTGGAAAACTCAAGTTCTTAGAAGTTAGATGGCCTTGGCTTTCTTTGTTCTTTCTTCTGTCTCAGACATCTGTATCAGCTCTCTCACCGAGCTCTTTATCTTACTTGGCTTTTCTGTGGATGCCTGGAGGCCTTGGCTCACATTCTCAAGAGTGTCCACTGGTTCAAGAAGCCATCACTGCTATCAAATTACCTTGACAGCTGTTGTCCCATTTCATATTTGCCATCCCCTCCTCCTGGCTCCCTTGTGATTTTTGGCAGAAGCTGTGGCTATTGAGCAATAAAACTTGGATCTGAGAATCCTGTTGCTGGTGGGAAAATGAGATGAGAGCATACTAGTTAATGCCTTGCAACTTGACTTCTTGGTGATGTATAATCAGTAGCATCTTATTTAAAAACAAAACTTACCACTAGCTACTCTGTTTGGATTGAGTGGATGGTTCATTTACTGTTCATCTGGAGTTGTGGGATAGGTGCTGGTCTCTTAAAATCGCACAGTCTGTACCAAGATGTGTATGACCAGACGAGCGCTTGATTTGGGGTCCTGGACAAATGCCTATGCATACCGACTACAAAACAGCTAGGATGCCCGTGTTAATGAGAGTAATCCGTAAGGGCGTGATTGACTTTGTCTTCATGTTAGTTTTATTGATGATCCTGCCCCTGCGTAACCTGGAATACAGCTTCTGTATTACTATTTAGTGGACATTAAAGATGACCCTATAAGAAGCAATTTGTCTTGCTTGGATTTGAATTAACAAAATGTAGTGATAGCATTTGGGGGCTCTTCTTTTGTGTGTGTGTTTGGGGATTTCATTGCCATTCTTTTAAATGCAACTATAAAACGCTTCTGACAACTGACAAAAATGGTGATGGTCTTGGGACCAACCATCATAAGAAAGCTGCCACCTCTGTAAACCTCTCATTTTAAGATGTTTTGTGTTTCCTTTTGTAAGTTGTTTGAGAAGTTGGCTGATGCATGGTATGCTTTAATCTCTACTGATGATTCCTCTTGTCCCTGTTGGAACATGTCAGCAACTAAATTTTGTGTAACATACTGGAAAAATTAGGAAGGAGCAGATCTTAATTTGAAAGATGACTGACAGAAAACAATTAATGTATCCAGAACACTCAGTTCTGAGGAACACATATAGGGAAAGCAGATAAAAAATTATTTTGCTTGCAAGGTGTATGATTTACTAGCTGATAACATCAGTGTGAAATGTAAAGCTTGTAAAAGTCTGGATCAGACCAGCCTTAATGCACGTCTTACAGCTCCTAAATTACTGTGCCAAAGGGGGAAGACTAGACTCCTACTGGAACACGTGCTGTGACTGTTCTGTACGTGTCCACCGAGAAGGGTATTTTAAGCAGTTGGTGAATAGTTCTGAGTGAAATCATGACTTCAGTCAGTGTCTGTAAATTTGAGGGCTGGTGCCTTGGGGCTCCACCCTGGTAGGACCTGGTGGCACATCATGTGGTCGTGGGTGGAGTCCTCCTGGGTCATGAAAGCCAGGGATATAGTGTGACCAGCTGTGAAGTCAAGGGAGGAAGAATCAGCAATCATAGGGCCAAAGAAGATGTTCTCTAACTTTGGAAAATCACAATTACATCAACATTACCCCCTGGAAAAGAAGTAGAAGTAAAATAAATAACGGGTTACATCTAGGTGAAAAATGCTTGAAGCATCCCTCCCCTAGCTGTAATGTTTGAGTTGCAGGGTGGCATGCACGGGTTTTCTGTTGACACGGGGGGCAACTAACTTTTTACTGACTTTTCTTTCTCCACAAAGGAAAACAAAAAACACTCATAGTGCCTCAACTTGGTGTACAGCTTGATTAAAGTGTGGGTTTGTGGTGTGGTGTGTTTTTGGTTTTTTGGTTTTTTAAGGAAAAAAAGTGACAATTTATCCTCCCTGCCCTGCATCCCTTGCTATCCTGGCATTTAACACGGGTTTAAACAAGGTGCTCCTTGGTCCGGTCTCTCTATAGAGATCGCAGAAAGCGCTGGAAGGCTTGAGCTTCCTGCGATCCCTGGCACGTCTTCCGTTACGCAGCTACGGTTATTGTAGCAGTAGGGGACTTGTTAGTTTTCCAACTGCAGTTCCCAGCAAACGTGTCCGCTCTGCGGTGGAGACTCCTGCATGTTCGGTGTTAAAATAGTTCTATAGCTTTCAGGCATCTTGCATTTCAAATATGGGTGGAGAAACAAGTGTTGGTCTTTAAGGCAGGGGTTTCAAAGCTTTCTGATATCAAAGGCCATGTTGACAACTTGGCAAGCGCTTGTGGGCCTGAGTGCATTAGATCTTTAGGATAGGAGCTGACTTGCTGCAGGCATCGGAAAGGATATTTTGCATTGTTTAAATGTATTGTCAGATGTGTTATGTCCTTTCTCTGCAGTGTGACTGCTGAAATGTCTCCTCCTTTCGTGCTAGGCTTGGCTCCTTTTCCCGTCAGCCAGAGAAGGAGTTAACTTGCTGTTACAGTCTGCTCCAGCTCCTGTCTTACTGTCCAGTCTCTTCTGCATGGGGAATCCCAGCTCCTGATCCCTCTGCTGCAGCAGCTCACGCTGTGGCAGCGGAGGGTGGAAGGGAGCTTTTGGGGAATGTGTTAAACTCGGCCAGCAGGTTACAGGGTGGGAGGAAGCATCTCAGCTGGATGTCCTTCATAGCACTCTCCTGGGTGTGGGAAGCCGGGAGGATTCTGCAAACCCAGGAAAGCAGCAGGTTCTGGCAGGGTAGAGCTTGTCTATCCTGGTCAAGGTCTCAGAGGTCTTACCAGGTTACTTGCTTGTTGACTGTTTGAAATACCAGCATGTGTTGCTTCCGCTTTGCTCTTGCACTTTCCAGCCTTGCTGAACTGCCACTCTACTTTCTTGCGTTGGGTGCATTAGCTTCATTGGTTTGCTGTAGTATTTGAAGATCTTTGGGTGACAGGCAAATGTCTTGCCAGTACTTAATGAGCTAGTTTATTTAATTTCCTATGTGAGGCAAGTGAAGTGCAGAGGTCAGTGCTACAACACAGTGCAGGAGGATAAATGCAATACACAGAGATGTACTGAAACTTTTCTTAACATCAGCCCTGTCGCAACCAGCGTAGCTATGACAGTGTGGAGTGCAACCAGGCTAATCGTTTGGGTCCTTGTCTGGCTTATGGGTAGAGCTTGTGGCTCGCATTGAGCTCTGGCTGTGCTGTTGGCTTGCTTGCTGGAAGGATCAAACCTGGCACGGATGTTTCAGCTTTTAAATGCAGTCACAGGTTTTGGTCTGAGGTGGAAGCGTGCTTTATGAGCTACATTGTTTTGCTTGAAAGACTAAACAACAAATCTGTAGCAGTGTAGAGGAGAAGCCATTCCCCTAACTCCTGGTCATGTGCTTTCATCACAAAGACCCTGTTTCTTTTACTTAACTGAAGAATTCCATTCGATCAAAAGCTAGTTAAGGAAAATAGAGCCCCATGTGGTCCTGTGTGGTTACTTAGGCAGGTGCTATTTTTAGGAATCCCAATTGAGTAAGCCCTGGCTCTTGCTGCTGTTAATATCCATGGAAGCAAAATTAAAACTTCTACCTTCATCTCAACCCCATGTAGGCCACTTGGCTCTAGCCACCTGTTTTGTTTTCTCCTTTGTGTCTCCCCCAGCTTATTCCCTGCCTTGCGGGGATTTTTGCCTTTCCAAGTGAGAGTTAATCAGTTCCTTGGGTGTGGGTGATGTGGAATAAAGCAGGTAGGATTGTTCTGCACCTCTCAGGATCGTTATCAGAGTTGTTAATGAGCTCTTGCCCTCCAGTCCTAGGGTTCTGCAGAACTCTGCCCATCTGCTTCTCACTTTAGCTTCTGTGGCCCAGTTTCATTGATCTGTAGAAGATGCTCCTTGCCTGCTTCTCCGCCCCCTCCAAGAGCAGGGAGCTAAGGTTTGCAAAATGTGACCTGTTTGCAGCTCTTTTTCCTTGTTGCTGCTGAAGAAAACTTCTTGCTCACAAAGTTTTGTATACAGACCTGCTTGACCTGCCTTGTAGGAGCATTGGAGGGGACAGGAATGATGATAGAAGTAAAACAGTTTGGACTTGAATTAAAATAAAAGAATCCAGTTCCTTTTCTGGAAACAGTTGCTGAATGTGACCAGATTCCTCTACACAACTTCATGCCCCAGCTTGCAACATGTAGAGATTTCATTGGGGTTTTTTTGTGAGTATTTTTCTCTGAATCTGAGAAGAAAAGCAGTGGAGGAGTAAGGTGGAGGACATGGCAGGAAAAGAGGCTAAAGCCTGAGA